ATGATAGGATTTCATTTGTTTTATGGTTGAATACCATTCCACAATGTATTTACTTTATCCATTCTTCAGTTGATAGAGACTTAACTTGCTTCCATTCCTTGACTACAGTGAAAAATGCTGAAGTGAACAAGGGGATGCCAATGACACTTTGACATACTGATTTCATAAGCTTTGGATCCATACCTGTTAGTGCAATTACTGAATCATATGGTAGTTGGGCCTCCTAGAGAGAGTAGGACTTAAATACTGAGAAAATAAGAGAGTGTTCAAGGGTAATGGAGAGAACCAAAGAAGAATTCAAGGGGTAAGTCACTCTAGTGAGCAAATAAATATAGGCAAAGGAAGAGTTGGAAGAAAGTTCATGAAGTCATGGCAACTGAGTTGTAGGAGCATCAAATGCCAGACTCAGAGTGAGAACTTCCTTCTGTTTTCAGAGCAGGCTGTGGAAAGCCTTAGGCCAGTCAAGAGATGTGGAAATGAAATTGTGATGCTCATGGATATGGAATAACCAGGAATAGTGTGTCATCCAGGGTCCTCTCAGTAAAGAAAATGGCACATGCAAAAGAGTGATTGAGAGGAATTTAAGAAAGCGGACAGGACATCAACAAAGTTTGGAAAATACTCTAAGGGTAGCGGTAGGTTTGAGGGGTGGGGTGGCCAGGGTGAGGGTAACAGCCATGTATATCTCACTGTCCAGCTGGCTGGCTCAAGATTCTGCACTTGCTGGTAGCCTAACAGATTCTAGGGCAGTGAGAGTGCAAGGACTGAGTGCTTTTCGGGACTTCTTATCTCAGGCCAAGGGATACACTATAGGCCGAAGTGAGTCCTTGGACCAACCCAGATTTAAGGGATAGACAGGGAGTCTCCACCTCTTGCTAGGAGGGGCTGCAGGGCCATATTGTCAGAGTGTCCATGAGCAGGTGGGCAGAATTTGTGGACACTTTAAAACGCCTCAGTGTGTGAAAGAAGAAACATTTTTTCATTACTCTTCCAATTTCATGTTGAGCGAAATAAGTTAGAATCGGGAGAGAAATATTCCTGTTTGCCCTAATAGGTGGGATCTAAAAAGGATGTCAAGTAGCAGGGAGGACCAGCAGAAATGTTTGGGTGCATACATGTTTTCCTCTTGAACTTACTGTATGTCTGGACAAGCAGAGGAAGGAACTGGGTAGACTGCACATGTCATCAGCCAGCTTACGGGTGAGCATTAAAGTTCACCTTTCACTTCCATTCCTTCTGGGTGTAGGTGTCACTGAGACTGTTACAGCTGCCCTAGGGATGCATCTGAAAACAAGGCAGACATTCCTCTGCTTTACCTGGTGTACATGCTAGCAGGGAAGGTACAGTTTATGGAACCTATTAATTAAAAGTGTGATTGATGTTACAAAGGAGGAATTAGACATAGTGAAAATGTGTGAAAAGGAAACACCTTAACTAAGCTGGGGCTTTTATGAGGGAAGGTTAACTGGAGTTGGTTGTAGCAGGAAGGCTGGGGTCAGTAAGGAAGAGCAGGTTGAGTGAGCTGGGTGAAAAGCAGGTAGGGAAGGGACTTCCTAGGCTGTTGACTACTTCATGTAAAGTTCTGATGAGGAGAGAATGGTACAGCTGAGTCAATGAAGGGAGACTTGGGCAGTGGTTTTAGAGCAGTGGCCCATTGATTTGTGAATTGCTTTGTTACAGACTAGTTAGAAGTGCCAATTCTGGGCTTTTAAAACCAGATTTATTTGAGATATAAGTAATACACCATACATTTCACCCATTTAAAGTGTACAGTTAGTGGCTTTCAGGATATTTACAGGATTGTCAGCACTCTGTGATGTTCAACTCACAACTGCCCCTAAGTCAGACCCCACATTCCCCATGCCAGCACTGGGTAACCACTAGTCTACGCTCTGCTTTTAGATTCATCTAGTCTGGACATGTAGTACCAATGGAATCATACAACATGTAGCTCATTGCAACTGCTTCTCGCTTAGCCTGTTTCAGAGTTCACCCATATTGTACCATATTGTAGCTAGCATGTATCAGTATTTCGCTCATTTTTATGGCCAAATAATATGTTATTTTAAAATATAAAATGCCCTCACCCCAATTTTACTGAGTCAGAAACTCTAGGTGTCATCCCTCCTATGGTCTGTGTTTTAAGAAGCTCTTCACATGCCTCAGATCCAACTAAGGGTCAAGAGCCGCTGTGGCAGCGTGGGTAGCAAGGAGGTCCACAAACCAGAAGGGTGGGTTGCCGTCATCACTGCTGGCCTGCAGTGTCTACCTTTATCTTAGGAGCATGGGAAGTTAGTAAGATTTTAAAGCAGTAATGTGAAACCATGAGGTTTATGTTTTAAAATGATTTATTTCAGCTTTTCTGTAAAAAATAGTGTTAGGGGAAATCTAACTAAAAGAAGATACAAGTTAGCATGGCATGGGCTAGTAGCAGTGAAGGTGGAAAAACATGGCTGGTTTCAAGAAGAATTTTGAAAGCCGACTTGTTGGTTAATTGTATCATAGACAAAGTAACAGATGAAGTCTAGGTTTCCCTGGTGGACAGGTGAGTGGGTGGTGTTGCTATCACTACACTTTTCTAAATTTTCTGATGTCTGATATGTGGCTAAATCTTAGTCACTTATTCCTCCCTCTGGAATCTGACTTCTTAGAGCGGTGATGGTGAACCTTTTAGAGCTTCAGTGATACAAAGAGCCCAGTGTGGCTCCTGTGCCATAGTTTCACCACCACTTTCTTAGACCATCTCCAGAGTCAACATATTGGATGACATTGAATGTAGACTATGTGGAGAATAATCTTGAGAAGACATACAGTGGTACCTCGGTTCATGAACTTAATTCTTTCCCCAGTTTTGGTTGCAACCTAGTTGCAGCAACACATCTAGAACCATAACTAACAATGACAACAAAAATTAATGTGTATGTGTGCATGATCAGTGTGCAGTGAGTATTTAAAATAAAGAACATAATGTCTATGAGAAGGTGGAAAATAAAGTGTATTGGTCACTTTCCCATCTCTGAAACAGCATACCCGACACCACAGCTTAAAGGAGGAAAGGTGTATTTTGGCTCATTGGTTTGAGAGGGTTCGGTCCATGGTTGGTTGGCTCTAAGGCAGACACAGCCTTGATGGAAAGTTCATGGTAGGACAAAGCTGCTAAACCATGAGTGCCAGAAAGCGGGGTGTTGGGGGATATTAATGAATATGAATGTGGTGGGCACAAGAGAAAATGAATCCTTTAGGGCCCTGCCTCTTCCAACCAGGTCTTACCTTCCAACAGCACATCCAACTGTGAACTCACTGATGCATTTATCTCCTGACATGTATAGCGCCCCCGTGACCCATCACCCTGAGAAAGCCCCACTTCTGAACACAAATTTTAATATAGTTCTAGCATTATCCAACTTAGCTGTTTTTAAATTACACAAAGACTTGGTCTGGAATGTAGAAAGAATTGACTAAGCTATTCTGAAAATACTGATTCCCAATCAGAAAATACAGGTGATGTGTTTGTTAGCGGTGGGTTAGATTCCAGTCATGCAAAACAGTATTCATCCACCAAGGGCAGTAGGGATTTCTTGATCTGTTCAGAAATATTCCTTTCAACTCAAGACCATAGGGCCAGGGATTCAGCTCAGCTGTTCCGCCACCTGCCTCACAAGCGCAAGGTCCTGAGTTTAATCCTTGATACCAAAAACATAACAAAATGAAAAACACAAGACCATAAACTGACACTCACCCAGGTTTCAGGAGGAAAGTAAATGAAGTGATTAGGTTTAATTATGTATCAGCTTCTTGATTTTCATCTATAATTCTGAAAAAGAAAAATAAGTGTGAAGAAAGAGTTACTACCCGTCTGTCAAGATGAAGAGATGGGCTTTAGAGAAATAAGTAACTTGCAAGAGGACTCAGACCCATGCTTTTCTGGTTCACAGCGTCCCCAGCAGACCTGTGTGATGCTGGCCAGGGACAGACTCCCCTCCCCACCAAGGTTGTTAAAATTTTGATAGGTAAAATCATACTATCTTACCTGATGTACTTTGGTAGTTCCAGGAAATCACCTGAAAGATGTTACATTTTTATATTTAAAATGCTTACTGAAAATTTGTATTTGAAAGGCTTTTGGGATAGCATTGTTTTCACGAACAAGTTAACGATATCAAACAGTTCTTAAAATCCCTTTTGTAAAATGCTTACCATTAACATGATGATAGTAGACCAGGGTCCCTCTTTACCTTGAATCGGGGAATCAAGGAGAGGGTGTAAATAAATGTAAATGTATGTGCAGCTGTGTGTGTTTAAACCACTGCTGATAACCACTTGTTATCGTAAAAGAGTCAGCAAATCTGAAACTTTTTTTTTCTAACAAAAGAAAAATATTTTAAAACATGCTTGGATTTCCAGTGTTAGGCAAACATTTTAATGCACTAGCATAAGTGCTCAGTAGTTTTTGCATGCAATACAATAACTACAAAAATTATAGAAACAGAAACTCTTAGAACTGAAACATCCTTCCCTAAACTGTGTGTTACTATGGCAAGTATATAAAGAATATTTCTAAATATTGATTACCTGGAAGATCATGTGAAAAATACAGTGGGATAGTGAGATTTTGATTCTTTAAATTAAAACATTACAAATTGAAAAGATAATTTAATATTATAAATGTGGAGAAAAGAAACTATGTGAGTTGTTCAAGAAAAGGACCAGAAATGCTGACTGCTTAAAAGAAAAAAGTTAACAGTATTTATTCAAGCCCAATACTATTTGTTTAGTGCTAAGATATGACACATGCCAAGGACTGTGCTAATGATACCTGGGTAGACAACCACAGCCTTTCTCTTGTTAAGATTGTATTGTTTTAATTTACTACCTGTAATAATGGTTCTTTCCAAATTGCCCTGTTTTGTATAACCCATTTTTATGACATTCTGATTTTCTAAAACCTAAGCCTTTGGCAAGACAGCCTCTTTAATGGTTATCTTTGACTGGGTAACCTGGTATTTGCTTTCTAATAAGATAAACTAATATAGAAACTAGAGACACAGGGCTTTATGTGTAATCCCACATGGAGTTTGGCGGCATTAGACTGCTGACAGCAGATGGCTTGTTAGGGTTAATTCTACCCTCTGTCCTCCTCCACAGTGGTGTAATGGTGGGGAGTGGCACCGGTAGGAATTTGTTCACCTGCGACTACAGAGCACCTGGCTACCTTGAACTTCATCAGATAAAGGTGTTTTGGTCTCTCCTGGTAAGTCTGGAGGCTGAAATTTATTCAGGGCCTGCTTTTCTGGGGTTCTCTTCCCCTTTTCCTGGTGCCTGTGGGGGAAAGGCCACCCTCCACCTCCAGCCCTGATCTGCTGGTTCCAAGCAAGAATAGGAAGGACAGGGCCCAAGAGCCTGGCATCTTAATCTGTCTGCTGTGTAAGGAACACAAAGCCTTGCTCAGAAGCCCTGCCTGGACTTGAGCTCACATATCACTGGCCTGGTCTGGAACACGTGGTTGTGTCAGGTGCAAAGGAAGCTGGGAAAACTAGAGCTTTCACTTTTCAGAGCGAGAATGAGTGGCCTCAAGTTTACTGTCTTCCATAGTAATTTCTGCTGTTTAAATCTCCTTTGTGCAAATACCATGCCTAGTGAGTAGAGTGAGGTGTTAAAGAATTTGCCACAAAATCAGAAATCATGTATCTCTAAGGTCTCTTCAGTTGCTGGAAAGTTCCTGGGGCCTCTGACAAGGGAAAATCCTCAGTCCTGTCCTCCCTTTTTGTTTAAGAGAAGGAGTTGTCTTCAGACCCTCTACCTCCCCTAGTCCAGCCCAGCCCCCTACTTTGCAAATTTTGTCAAAAAAAAATGTATCTTTACTCTTTCCTCTGCCTGTCTTTTGACTTTTTTTTTCCTTTTGAAATACATAAAAGACCCTAATCAGCCTTACTTCAAGTAAGAAAAAGAAGACAGAAGTGTGTTTGAAGTGTAAAGGCAGGTGAGATAAAGACCTCTTATATCAAATACCTAAAGCTTTTGAGAGTACCCATAAGTCGCTCTGTACTTTTGCAGAAGGCTACATTTAGGGCAAAGAAAGAAAAGCTAATACTTCTGAATGAAAGCAATTGAGCAAATCGCTATTACTGCTTAGCTCGTTTCTTATTTAATTTCTTAGTAAACCTATAGGAAAAGGTCCTGGATTCATTTCATGGATGTGGAAATGAGGCTGGCTGAGAAGCTACGTCATTTCCTCAGGACTGCTCAACTACAGGAACCTGGTTAAAACCAGGCAGTCTAACTCCACATAGTTTGCTTTTGCTTTCTTTCACTTTGCGTCATTGCTATCTGCCTCATTTGTCCATAATTAAATGCTTTCCTACAGTTCTTCATATTCAATCTCCATTCTTTCAAAAGCCCATTTTATTCAAATTGATTTTGCGTCTTCATTTACTAGTAAGTCCAAAGGTCCCAATGTGCCGCATGACTGCACACTCAACTCAAACATGACAAGACTTGTCTGGGAGCCTATGGAAAGAATCTGTCAGGAGCTGCATAATAATGTGAGCTAACTGGCAGCCTTCTGGGAAAGGGATAATCCTGCCAGGAGTACAGCAGTAGAGGCATGACAGTTGAAGTTATTTAGAGGTCATTGCCACAGTGGGAGGTAGGTCTGAGCCAAGTTCAACTGAATTTATTTAGCCTGTCTTCGGATCCACTTCCTAGGAAATCTTGGAGTAAGGAGGTTGCTAGTTAAAGTCACAAGCGTCTTCCACAGGTCCTGGAATGTCCCTGCCACATCAGCAAACTGCAGCACTGCCCAGCAGCTTTCTGCTCTGGCGCCTGTGGTACTGGGTCTTGAGGGCTTGGGTACAGGCAGTGGGATCCTCAGCAGATCTGGGGATCTAGATTTGAGAGGAAAGGTTTATTCATGCAGGGGTCAGGAAGGCTGCTGAAAGCACAGCTAAGTAGCATGGTTCAGAGCTCTTGGAGATATTGGGGAAAGTATTTAAGGCTAATGAGGGTCCTGGGATAGCAGTTAGAAGCCTAATCAGGGAAATGCCAACACATTTTCTTAATTCTCATTTGCCATTGATTTACAAATATTTCAGTAATTTAACAAGATCATTTGAGTAATACAAAATATTATGTTCTTGCAGTTTTTAAAATTAACTGACATTAGAATTTAAACATAAAGCCACCTGCAGCTTCTTCATGCATTGTCAGAGTTAAGAAGCAGTGTTTTTTCATTCAGGGTCTACAGATTCTTCTGAATTATTTCGGCTATTTATAGTTAGACACAAGATCCTAGACATACTGCTTTTTAAATTCATGTAGCTTTAGAGTTCAGGAATACTGCTGTTTGATCCATATTGCTGTTGAACTAACTTTTCAGTTACATTTGGTGGTAAATTACCAACAAGGCTTGGTTAGCATCTCTTGAACTTCACCCGAGAATCTCTGATGTTGAGCACAGGCGTGGTAATTCTTTAATCACCCATTCAGTTAGTATTTATTGAGGACCACTTGACTGTGCTAGTTCCTGTGCTTGTAGAACTGCCACTGTGGAGAGAAAGGTGAGGAAAAAATACAAGGAAACAGATTAAATAAAATTTTTAATAAATTTAGGCAATGAGACGTCAATGAAGTGGCTAGAGAGGGCTCTCTGAGACCCAAAGACGAGAAAATGAGCATTGTTGTGAATCAGTTGCTGCCCTTCCACTTGTGAAAGTTTTGTGTATTCATTAACAAATGTGTGGAGTGTCTTGTGTGCCTGATATATTGCTGATAGAGCTATACACAAAGAATCCCTGCCCTTGGGGAGATGATATTATAGTAGGAAGGGATGGACAAATGTATAAAACACAGGATGTTAAATGCACATGTTAGTGAAAAAGGGCAATAGAGAGTTCTGGGGTGGCAAACTAAACTCAGAGTTTAGTGAGAGAATTTTTTTTTTTTTTTTGCATTACTGGGGATTGATCCAAGCTATATCTCCAGTCCTTTTTATTAAAAAAAAAAAAATTAGAAAAAGCCAGGTAAAGTGGTACATATCTATAATCCCAGTGCTCAGTAGGTTGAGGCAGGAAGAGAACAGTGAACTGGGGGTGCAAGAAACTCAGAGTTTAGTGAGAGAATTTTTTTTTTTTTTTTTGCATTACTGGGGATTGATCCAAGCTATATCTCCAGTCCTTTTTATTAAAAAAAAAAAAATTAGAAAAAGCCAGGTAAAGTGGTACATATCTATAATCCCAGTGCTCAGTAGGTTGAGGCAGGAAGATTACAGTGAGTTTGAGGCCAACCTGAACTACATAGCAAGACTTAATCTCAAAACAAAATTTTTTCAGACAGTGTCTCACTAAACTGTTAAATTGTCTAGGTTTGGCCTGAGCTTGAGATCGTCCTGCCTCACCTTCCCAGAATGTTGAGGTGCAGGTGTGTGCCAGATGTGATCTAGCTCAACAAGTTGACATGCTTTTTCTGTAAAGAGCAGCTAGTAATTGTTTTTAGGTTTTGGGGACCACATAGTCTCTGTTGCAACTACTCAATTCTACCTCTGTAGGGTGTCTTACTTTGTTCATTGCTGGGACAAAATATCCAACACCCACAAATTAAAGCAGGAAAGGTTTATTTTGGCTCACAGTTTATATAATTAGTCCCTTTTTCGTTGGCTCCAAGTCAGGGTTGCATGGCAGTGGGGTATGTGAGAGGAGAAACAGTCCATAGCATAGCAGGCAGGAGTCAGCAGAGCAGCAGCAGCAAGCATCCCTCTGCCTTTTATCCCATACAGGGTACAAGTCTTGTGGGGGTTTGCCACGCATACCCAGGGTGGGCCTTACCATTATCCACACTGAGAACTATGCTAAGCCAGTGGAGTAATTTACTATCACACACTTTTAATCCCAGTATCACACACCCATGATCCAGCCACCTCTCAAAAGCCCCACTTATGAGTGCCTGAGGCTTTGGGGGGACATCTAGATGTAAGCCATAACATAGGGCAAAATCAGACATACACCAAATGTGAAATAAAAGGTATGATTTTGTTCCCTATAAGCTTTATTTATGGCACTGAAATTTGTATTTAATTTTTTTTTCTGGTACTGGAATTGAACTCAGGACCTTGCCCTTGCAAGGTAGGTGAGGTGCCACTGTGCTAAGTCCCCGGTCCATATTTCATTTAATTTTATATTTCACAAAATTCTTTTGATTGTTCCCCTCAAATATATAAAATCATTATTGCCTGCATGCCATACAAAAATAGTGGGCTCTATTTGGCCCATAGGCCGTATTTTACTACCCTAAATCTGACTCAAGAGTCTTGGCAGTGCCTTTTCCTTTTAATTGCTTTTTATGGTTAAAGAACACATATTTTAAAGGAAAAGTGAAATGCGATTTTTATCATTTCATAGATACCTTTGTATTTTAGATCCAATACTTTAGTTGTTACTTTATGAAGGAAATAATAAAAATGTATCTGTTTATCCGTGATGAATATTCACTTATATTAAATTTATATATTTTCAGAAAACTTTATTTCCAGGCTGTACTGTGCAGTAATAGCTTTTATTTTAAAATTTTCATCATAATAAAATACTTATGAAGACATTTTAAGTAGCAACTAAGAATTTTATCAGTTGATACTACATTTGGGTACAAGCTCTAAAAACCTGGATAAAGAGTGGCTTACCTTGTTAAAAGCTTGTTCTGTGACAGGATAAAGTACAGCCTGGGGTGGCAGCTGTGAGTGGCATCGAGGACCTGGACTCCTGCTTTCTGCTTGACCATCCTTAGAATATGTTGCTTGTCTTCTCATTTGTGAATTGGTTTTCTGAGCCTTCAGGCCTGCAAGGAAGAAAGGCAAAAGCGAAGGGCAGAAGGAGTGTTTCCTTTCAGTTTGTGAACCAGCGCCTCCCCAAAACCATCTGCCATACATCTCATTGGCCAGAACTGTACCATGAGATCATTTTTAGCTACAGTCACTTAGGTAAACACATTTTCGTAGCTGAGCACATTACTTTTCTAAACAAAGCAGATTTCTGCTACTAAGAAAGGGAAATTGGTCACTGGGTAAACAGCAGTTGTCTGCATGGCCTTCATGTGTGTTTGAATAAAAACCGCACATGTTGAGTTAACGGCTGCCTTCCACTCACGGAGAAATTGACATGGCACTGACTGGTGTCCCCTGTTTACTTCTCCGTGTACTCAGTGAAATTTTTAAATCATTGAGTGTAAGGTGGCTTTCATTTCAGAGAAGTTGAAATGTGGGAAGAATGAAAGTCTGTGCATAAAGGAACCAACTGTGTGTTGTTTCTAGAACTCTGGGGTCGTGCCCAGCACATGAGGTACCTAGGCCACTGCCTGTTGCCCCACGGGAAGGCCTTCGATTACCTGGGGCACCCTGCAGCCCAGAGTCCCAGGCCATGGACGCTTCTGCTGGTCTTAAAAACAGCCCAGCTGGTGTGACTCATCTTCCTTCCTGATGCTGGAGTCACAGACTTCCATGGGAAAGTGTCCTCTGATTTAAATTTCTCCCATCCTGTACATTTGAGTGGTTTGCTGTAGCGTTAGCTAATTTTCCATGGTTTTAGCCATGGTGTCCTTCCCATTTCTTCTTTTCAGCTATCTGGCCTTTCCTGTAAGTGTAAGGTATCATGGAGGCCAGTGACTGAGGAAGAGCCTTGAGTCCGGTGCGGTGTCACACCCGGGAGGCATCATTTCTATAAACCTCGGTCTCTGTCCTGGATGCGCCCTTCCTGCTTTTCTCTCTGTGTCTTGCTCTCGCAGTACATTGCTGTTTTGCATACTAACACATTTATAATATTCAAAAATTTTAAAGTAAGGCTCTTGCTCCCACGTTCCCCCAGGAACTCCCAGTTTCTATTCCCAAGGCCCTTTTAGCTACATGACCTCGTGACCGTCAAGATAGAAATGTATTCTCCCTCCCTCATTGTTTTCTAAAAATTGGCCCTAATCTACACACAGTTCTTTCTTTTTTTCTTTTTTTACCTACTGATAAATCTTGGAGATCTTTTTATAACAGTATTAACACATCTATAAGTGCTCCTTTTCTCTTACTAAACTGCACAGTATTAGGGTGATCTTTTGGAAATAACACCACTATGCTTCCTGTTTTGTGCTTTTAAAATGGGGATGTTCCTTACATTTTGCACTTCACAGTGCTCTGCCAGTCATCAACATTGTTAGCAGGGAACAATCCTTTGCTTTCTCCATTGTTTGTTTTATTGATGTGTTTGAATTTTAATATGTGATTATTTTTCACACGCAGTTTTAAGGTAATGGTCACAGAGACAAGGAGGGAGGGGTGTTGAGAGTATAAATTGGTGCAGTCCCCAGGAGCCTGAACAGTGTCTCTGCTGTTTGACCCTGGGTTTCATGCGTGGGGCTTTGGCATAAAGTAGTGGTATTGAGAGAGAAAGTCCAGATTTATAGTAAAGGTGTTGCTGTGGTCTCGATGTGCGCCTCCCCCAAATCCCCATGCTGTAGTCACGGGAGGTGGCCGTCGGGAGGTGGTTAGGTCATGAAGGCAGACAGAGCCTTCTGCAGAAACAGCTTGTCCTTCATGCTGTGTGAGGACACGGTGAGAAGCTTCCATCCACGGCGAACCAGGACACGGGCTCTCCTCAGTCACCAGTTCTGCCAGTCCCGTGTCCTGACCCTGGACTTCCCAGCCCCCAGAAATATGTGAAATAAATGTCTGCTGTTAATAAGCCGTACAAGTGGTGGCAGTGGTGGCAAACCTGTGGCGTGTGTGCCACAGCAGCTGTTATCACTGATGACTCTGAAAGGTTCTCCATCACTGGTCTGTGGTGTTTCATTATAGCAGTGAAGGAGGGAGGCGGATATTCTAGTGGTAAAAGTTACAAGCGTACTAAATACACAACAGCAGAGTAGCCACTGACTATGTATGTGCAGGATGGAATTTTCAGGCAGGTATTAAAGTTCCCCTTTTGGAAAATGCTTCTTGTATGAGGAAAGTATTGAGGATGAGTTGTTGGCTGAAGGGGCAGCATTGCAGCTCGTTTCACCAGTGCGGCCCTGTGAAGGTTGTGCTGCAGGAAGTTGTGCCGTAGGAGGTTGTAGTGGTAGGTTTGTGTGTGTTTATAGCTGTGTATTTCTGTGTGAACAGGACAGGAAGATGGGAAAGTGAGGAAGCTGTGTTATCCTCTAGGTGTCCCAGTGGTGAGAAAGGACGAGTTCTTAAGTAGTCACATTTTGTAGCCAAAGTGGCTGTTACATACGTTATTTGGAAAACCAGAATTTGATTATGTATCACTTTCATGTTTATTCACTCTGTGAACATTTAAAATTAGTTAGATGTGGAACTCTCATATACACAGAACTCGTTCCTCTCAGTTTTAGCAGTGGTTGCCTGGGTAGTAGAATTATAGGTCATTGTTTTATGATTTCCTGACTTCTGCAAAGCAAATAACTTGCTTTCATTATCAAAGAGGCTGAATCATGAAAAGCACTGTGGTGTGCGTCAGAGGACTAGAGAGCCAGAAGGACACTAAGCAGGAAAATGACAGGATTGTTTTCTCAAGAACACAGACTAACGTAGGATCCTCATCAAGATAGGTAGGCTCAGTTTCCTTATCTGTAAAACAGGAGCATTAAAATCTTCCTTTAGTCTTTTAATGGGAAATTAGTTAGGACATAAGATACTTTTTTGCAAGTTGAAGTTTCAAAATAATACAAACACATTTTGCTGAAATTGTGTTATCAGTTGGGGGAAAAAAGTTATCTTTTTCAGAAATGAGAAATAGCTTAGTTGAAGAAGTCAGGATAAGGCTATTACCAATTTAGATGAGTAACCATATAGTAATTTGCTTATCTTACAGTATCAACAGGCTTCAATGCCTGTCCTGTTTTGCCAGCTTTCTGTGTCCATACAAACCATACTATCTTATTATTCATGAATTTCCACTCAGGGATCAGAGAAGCCCTGTGCTTGAAGCATGTACCAGACTTGGAACTGCAGAGCACATCATTGAGGCTTTTGGGGGTACTTGGGAGGAGTGGGGAGGCAGTAAGTATGTGAGATTGTTTCTTGAGCTTTTTTTTTTTTTAATGTTGAGAGGTCTTTCTGGCTTGACCTCTCAAAATGACTTTTTTTCCTCTAGCTTTTATAAAATTTATTTTACCCTTTTAAGTTTATTCTTCGTGTATAGATTGTCCAGAATCATCAGAACAATCGAATTTGTTTTCTTAGCTTTTACCTGCTGTGCCCTCCACATTGAAGACGTTGCATATTGTCATCCATCTTAGTTAACCCACACTCTTATACTAGGAAAATGCGTAGCATCTGGATGACCTGCAGCTGTGTGAGCAGCTCCTCCAGAGCACACCTGAGCCCTGTGACTGATGGACGGACCAGAGAGGGTCAGAGGAGGGAGCAGGGGAGAGTTCTCAGCGAGGTGATGTTTGCGGTTGCTTCTTACCTGGCAGTGGAGAGTGTCTTGGGAGTTGAAAGTTGTTTTCGTGATGGTGGTTATAGCAGTGGAGGCTGAAAGAGGCTGCTGTGAGAGGATAAAAATGTTGCTTCCTCCAGGACCTGTGAAACGCTGGAGGTGGGATGGGCAGTGGTTATGGCCCGTGGAGGGCTGAATCTGACCCCACTTGGCCTGTGTCCCCAGGCATCCAAGCTGAGCCTCAGTGTTCTAGGAAGCTAGGTGGAGACCTCACCCTGAGTCCTCTGTGGGACATCAGTGAGTGGCCAGGATCGGGCGCCTGTGGAAAGTGCCCCTTGTATCTCCAACTATGAGAAACTGAGTCTCGTTCTGCTGGAAAGGCATCCTTCTGGTTTTACGTGAGCATTTCTCCTTGTTTGTCTTCTCTCTACAGATAAAGAAAAAGCAGCAGGATGTGGTTAGATTTCTGGAAGCCAACAAGATAGAGTTTGAGGAGGTGGACATCACAATGTCAGAAGAACAGAGGCAGTGGATGTACAGAAACATCCCTGCAGAAAAGAAGCCTGCTCAGGGAAACCCACTGCCACCTCAGATATTTAACGGTGACCAATACTGTGGGGTAAGTGGCTGATTGTTCTCCACTCTTTCCTCTTGGCACTCGTCACACGTGGTCACCACATGCACTGGGCTGCTTCTGTTGGCCACGGTGTCCTCTTCGCCCAGAGCCTGTGTGGGGCCATGGGTCTAACAGGGTGGAGTTGAGAGGGGACCTGAGTCCCGGAAGACTGAGTGGTTGTGTGGTTCGTGAGCATGAGCACAAGTGTGTCAGTCTCTCTGTCCCTCACTGCCTGAAAGGGGAACAGGATGGGAAACTGCACATGTGATTACCGTGTTCTAAGTTTTGAAGCATATCTTTAGATAATTATGTTTTGAGGGGCAGAGTAAAAGAGATAATTATTCCTGAATCTGTATCTCTGTCGTATAAGTAAGTACAGATAGCTGGTTGTGAGCCAGAGTTCTTTTTTTATGTTCACAAACCAGAGGGATCACTAGGAACACCTTAAATCTGTTGGGTGTCTTCCTGCTTTGTGTATCGTATGAACAGAGGGAAGTCAATTTTGTCTATCTACCCACTTTCTTGCTTCTTAGGTTAACAAATTTTGAGAGACATTTCTTCTGAGGAAGTTAGGGTTTGCCTTTTTCTTTTCTTTTCTTTCTTTTTTTTTGAGGTCTGAGAACATACGTTAACATTTATTTTGGGACTGCAGTTTTTTTAAAGATGGTCTGGAGAAGGAGACGGAGCTATAGTGCTGAGGGGCTTGAGATGAAGCACAGAGCTGGGTCATCACCAGGGTGGAAGAAGCAGCTCCCCTTCCCCAGAGAAGGAGCAGCTGGGAAGTGGCCTTGAGTAGATGCGCACGGCCTTCTTACCTGTAGCGTTTCGAGGAGAACCCTAAACATGTCACCACACATGCCCTTGAGTTCTGGTGCCACCTCACGCTGGCTGGGACACACTGGAATGCTACTCTTTAAGCTTCAGTCTTCTCTTCTTCTGTCAGGGGGTGTTGATGCCCGTCTTACCATCCAGTGTGTTTGTGAGTGTTTCTACAACACTTCTTAATCCATGAAGGATGCTTACACCCTTTACTTTCTCCTTCTACTGCCCACATTTGCTGTTATTCAGGACTATAAAAGTCCCCGGCTTTATCAAAATACATTTTCTGTTTTTTAAAGTCCCTTTGTTTTGTTGAGAGAAAGCAGACAGAAACATTGCTGTATCTTCCTAAAGCAAAGTCTTCAGAGTCCTTTGAACCAGGGTCAGGGAGGAGGAGCATGTGTATGGGATGAATAAAAGCATGTAATGTTATGAAATAAAGTGAGCTCTATTCTTATTTTCACCTTCTTGTAACTTCTAAATCTGTCTTGGCCCTGTGAGCAGTCTGTAGAACTTGTTCTAGGTATAGTATCTGGGAGCTGGCTCGGAGCTTTGTGGCTGATTGCACTGCACCAGGAAAACAGCATCTCCTTGCTTCAGCAGTGTGAGTTCCGGGGTCTTGCAGACAGCGGCTGCTGGTGTAGAGACTGTTGTCACAGTCTCTTCTGGCAGCGTTGTGGGGAACAGGGTCTGCTTTTATCAAGGTCAAGGAAATATGACCTTGAGAAAGCGTTAGAGGACAACTAACCCTGGGCCCATCTGTCCACCGGTTCCTGTGCACCTTGCTGTCCCAGCCACTGTTTCTGATGGCCTCAGCTGGTCGGGTGACCTGTGGAAACTTATCGCATTGCAAATGACAGCATCCAGGGAGCCTGCACATTCTTGTGTGCCCTGGATTGTCTACACACTTAGGACTAGGACTTTAAAGTAGATGAGCTGGGCATACACCACACGGCATGGCTTCCGCTAAGCTGCTTGGCAGTCATTGTGGACAGTTGCCTTCTCTCTCTCATTCAGCGTTTCAATACCCTGCCTGTTTCAAGGCATTTCCTGCTGAGTGGACGCCTCAAGCAGGACCACCCAGCCCAGGATTTGGACCTGGAGGGGGTTGGTGTGGAAACGCAGGTGCAGTTGGAGGCCCTTTGTGGCAGGAGAGTCTGGGGTGAGGGGCCAGGCGTAGCCCAGGTGATCCCGGGTGTGGCCCGCGATGTTCTTGGCTTCCCAGGCAGCGTGATCCTTCCAGCTCTGAGCCAGTCTCAGCTCCACTGTGGCTTCGTCAGCTCCCCACTGTAGCTCCGTAGACCCTTCCTCTGCACTGGCCGTGACCTTCTAGTTACTTGCAATAGATCCAACCTGGCCCAGCGTGTTTTTCCTTCCTCGTGTTCAAGGTGTTAAGCTTTTATTCTTTCTCCATAACTGTTCTGTGTGGAATGTTCTAGAGATTGAAACACAGCTTCTATCCACACAAGTGCAAAATATCAGCTCCTCTTTTATTTCTTTTTGCCCTCTCTATTAGGCAAACAGATGATCTGGTTCTCTTATTTTTTTAATTGTTGTATTTTTCTTATTTTTTATCAAGCTTCATTATGACAGAAAAACACATAAAATTTACCATCATAACCATTTCTAAGTGTACATATCACTCATATTAAATTTATTCTCATTATTATGAAACAGATGCCCAAAACTTTTTTATATTATGAAATTGAAACTCTGTATCCATTAAACAGTTCTCCTTTACCCCCTCCCCAAGTGCCAGGTAACCATCATTCTTCTATTTCTTTAAATTTGACTACTTTAGATGCTTCATGTAGGTAGAGTTGTGCAGTATTTGTACTTCTATAACTTGTTTCTTTGATTTAGCATAATGTTCTTAAGGTTTACTCATGGTATAGCCTGTGATGAGATTTCCTTTTAAGTCTGCATAATATTTTATTGTCTGTGTATTCAGTATTTTGTTTTTGTGCTCATCCAGCAATAGACATCTGGGGTGCTTCTACCTCTTGGCAACTGTGAATAGGGATGCTGTGCACATGGGTGTGCAAATATCTTTTCAGCACACTGCTTTCGATTTCTTTTCATATACCTAGCGGTGGGGTTTCTGTATCATGTGGTAGTCCTACTTTTAATTTGGAAGCAGCATGCAAGCTAAGAGACTACTTTATAATCTCTCAACAATGCACAAAAAGTTCAGGCTTCTACACATCCTTGCCAACACTCTCATTGTGGTTTTGATTTGCATATCTTAATGATTAGTGATGGTGACATCTTTTTAATATGCTGGATAGTCACTTTTGTATCGTCTTTGGGGAAAATGTCTATTTGAGTCCTTTTCCATTTTTTAAATCAAGTTCAAGTTATTTGACTTTTTTATTCTGCAGGATTGGCTGAGAATGCCAACATTGAGGGTCGGACATAAGGGGAAGATGGAGAGAGTCGAAGGGGAGCAGGAAATAGTTATAGTCACATCAATTCCCGTCTTAGACAGAAGACAGGACAACTTACCCAAGAGACAAGTGGCAGATTCTCTATAGAAAGAGAACTTTTTGATCATTTCTGTGAGGCCAGCCCTTGGGAGGCTGAGGCAGAAGGATTACTCCAAGTTTGAGGCCAAGCTAGGCTAAATAGTGAGTTCAAGGCCACTCTGAACTACATAGCACGACCCTGTCTCAAACAACCAAAGGAAGTCGGTATTTATAAAATGTTACATTTGTGTCTAAACATTGGATTTGTTGCCAACCAAATCTGAGGTCAATAAACCTAGTGACTAGTTTTGTTTAGTGGTGTGGAGCTAACTCTGCCTGTCGTTGCCCACATTACCTTGGTTATTTAAAACCTGGCAATAGACTAGAGCAGGGTTAGACTCATTGTCAGGAGGAGCAGGTACCTGGTCAACAGGAGGTCTTCAGGTCATCCCTTCCCCTGTCCTTTTTTCCTATGAAAGGAGACAAGAACATGTGTTCCCCTTGGCTAGCCATTGGTAGAAGCTCAGCACTTCACTCCATGTCCCATTTTCATGAACTTTTTAAGATTCAGAAAATTTCATCTTTGCAGGGACGGCTTCAAAATATGTCATTCATTCCAGTAAATATTACAGGCTTTGAGGGCCACATAGTTCTTTGTAGCACGCTCTTTTTTTGTTTGTCTGTTTCCAATCCTTTAAAAAACCTAAACACTATTCATGGCTCACAGTCCATTCCAAAGTTTACTTGCTCTAGATGGTCCATTCCCATTTCTCTCTGCCTCTTGGGGTTCTTTAGTGGCCACATTTGAAAAACACTGGAGTAGCTGTTGCCCCAGTCTCCTTGTGAAAAGAGTACCTCTCCACTAAGGGAAGAAGCCGTGACCTGTGTTGTAGCCTTCTGTAGTAATTGTGTCAGAATTTCATTGAGAGTAAAGAAATAGAAGGAAAGCTGAAGTCCCAGTTTCTCACCCTTAGATTATGCTCTAAGGTGTGGCTGTTCTTTCTGTAGGATTGATGGCTGCATGGTCTGTACAATACATAAAGTACAGCCTAAGAAATCAACTTATCTTAGTCACTTCCCTATCAGAAACAATATCTGACATCCACAACTTAGAGGAGGAGAGGTTTATTTTGGCCGACATTCCAGTCCAGGGTCGGCCAGCTCCAAAGAAGAAACAGCATGACAAGGGGGACATGCTGGAGAAAAAGCTGCTCACATCATGGCAACCAGGAAGCAGAGAGAGTGAAAGGAGGGGCTGAGAAAGGAGATCTACAGAGATGGCAAACCTTTTAGGGATTTCAGGGATAACAAACAGCTGGCTGTGGCACATGTGCCGTAAATCAGCACCACTGGGCTACACCCTACCGCGCCACTCCCCCAGTGACCTGCTGCTCTGACCAGTCCCACCTTCTGAGATAGCGAGTCAGCTATAATGCCCCAGTACCCCAGTCACCTTCCAAAGCCCCTTTGAACACAGGCTTTGGGCGACATGTAGGCATAAGCCCATAAGCCGTAACACACCCTACACCCATTTCCCTCAGCTCATGTACCCAGCTTGCTTCCAGAACCTAATAATTCTGCCCTGTTTCTCTCTCCAAACTCAAGACAGATGTGCTTGCTTTTACAGTTTCCAATTAACTTTTGCTATCACTCCCCCACTCCATCTCTGGTGCCTTTTTACTGTTCCAAGTATGACATTTATCTCGTAGAACTTTCCCC